TTCTGTATCCTTCCCTTCAAGGCTCAGGGGTCCAAGATTATCTTCTGTGTCTGTGTTAATTGGTTTCCCTTTTCTTTGTCGAAGAGGGTCTGTGCAGTCCTTCTGCCTAGTCCACCATCTTCCCTTAATACATTTTAAAAACACACAATGGAATACCGTGCAATACTAAGGAATAATGTAGAATCCATGAAACACTGCACAGCATGGATGAACTTGGAGGACATTATGCTGAGTGAAGTAAGTCAATCACAGAAGGGCAGACATTGTGTGAATCTACTGTTGTAAATTGTCAAGGAAGGGTTTAAATATGGAGGGAAACTTTCTTCCTTGATTACTAGGGAGGGAAAGGCAGGGGAGCACACACTGTTAGGCAGGTAAGAGACAGGTATTGATTTCGGTGAAGGCAAAGGCAGTTTACCAGAAGGGAGTGAGCAACACAGTAACTCACAGGACAAGGAAGACACAGAGAGGTGCACGAGAGGCGCAGACGATAAAGACAAACACCTTTACATACACGATACTGCTTTATGAGTAACAACAAACATTAATCCACAGCTCGACGTATAGGTAGACAGGATGAATGATCAGGTGTGTCTAGGCAGAAGGGAACATACCCATGACGAACATACCCATGAAGTTTGGCAGATGCTATTTCTACATGCACATTTGTATGTACTACAAGAACATCTATATAAATAGAACTAATGGGGGCAAAGTTATGATAACGTCTTAGCCACAGCCAACCACCCTAAAGGAGTGAGTTGTTGGACCTGTGAGCTCGGGACCATGGTCGCAGGGGACATTAAGCTCATTTGGCATAAGATACTACACAAAAACTTTGTTCTACATCCTACTTTTGGTGAGCACAGAACAGGGTCTTAAAAGCTCACAAGCGGCCATCTTAGGTCCCGTAACTGGTCTCTCCTCATCTGGAACACAGAATGAAGAAAGCCAAAGATGCATGGAGATAATTAGTCCAAGGGATTAGTGGACCACGCAAACCTCGGCTCATGTGACCCTGAGACCAGAAGAACTAGGCGGTGCCCGGCCACCACTGTCAACCACTCAGAAAGGGATCAGTGCTGGATATCTTGGATAGAGTGGGAGAACAACGGGGAACAACACTCAGAAGCATTTAAAAATAAATAAATAAGACCAGGCTTACTGGTCTGACCGGTGAAAGCCCCGAGACTGTGGTCACGAGCCACCTTTCAGGTCTGGAATTGAACTCACTTCGGTGGCTTCCAGCCAAGCAACAGACAAGCATATAAGGCAAACTTTTACATCAGGGAGGTACACTCCTTAGAACAACCAGGGAGAACAGAAAGGCAGTGTTTGCACAGGGAGACAGCACAGGGCAGGAGTGCATAAGAAAGAAGGACACAGGGAAGAGGTGATCATAGGGAGGAAGTGGGGAGAGAGCTGTTACACTGTGGGGACTGCAGTCACTGTCATGAAACAAAATGTGTATGACCTGCTGTCTGGAGAATGAAGTTGCTCTGTAACCTTCCACCCAAATCACACATTAAAAAAAAAAAAATCAAGATATACAAAGCATCTTCTCAGATCACAATGCTGTAAAATTAGAATTCAACAGGAAGATCAAGGGGAAAAAAATCAAATATATGGAAACCGAGTAACTGTTGCTTAAAAGCTACTGGGTAATAAAAGAAATAAAAAGTGAAATTAAAAATTCTTTGAATCAATGCGAATGAAAACACAAGACACCAACATCTTTGAAACATAGCAAAAGCAGTGCTCAAAGGACAATTTATAGCAATAAAGACACACATCAAAAAAGAAGAACCATAATCAATACCTTAACCCAACATTTCCAACACTTCCAACACGTCGGGTCAGATCCAACTCATAGTGACCCCTCCTTGGGTTTCCGAGGCAGTATCTCTATGGAAGTAGATTGCCCAACCTTCCTTCCGAGGAGTGGCTGGTGGGTTTAAACAGCCAGCCTTCTGGTTAGTGGTCAAATGCCTTAGGCGCTATGCCACCAAAGCTCCCCACCAAAAGATGGGAAATAATAAACATTTGAACAGAAATAAATGAAACACAAAGCAGAAAAACAATAAACAATCAACAAGAACAGAAGCATTTCTTTGATAGCATTAATAAAACCGAGAAAGCACTGGCAAATTTGACAAAAGAAAAGGAGAAGATGCAGGTAACAGATAAGAGATGAAACAGATGATGTCACAACAGAACCAACCGAAATAAACAGGATGAGAACAGGACACTGGGAAGCACTGTGCTCATGAGGAACCCGGCCACAGATCAGGAGGCAGTCGTTTGAGCAGATGAGAGAGGACTGAGTGGTTTAAAATCAGGAAAGGTGTGTGTGAGGGTCATCATTTGGTCTGTATGCTAAGCCAATAATCCAAGAAGCTGGACTATGTATAAAGAAGAATGCGGCATCAGGATTGGAGGAGGACTCACTAATAACCTGCAATATGCAGATGACACAACTTTGCTTCCAGAACGGGAGGATGACTTGAGGCACTTACTGATGAAGATCAAAGACTACAGTCTGCAGTATGGATTACACCTCAACATAAAGAAAACAAAAATCCTCACAACCAGACCAATAATCAACATCATGATAAATGGAGAAAAGATTGAAGTTGGCAGGGATTTCATTTTACTTAGATCCACAATCAACGCCCATGGAAACAATAGTCAGGAACTGAAATTATGTATTACATTGGGCAAATCTACTGCAAAAGACGTCTTTAAAGTGTTAAAAAGCAAAGATGTCAATTTGAAGACTAAGGTGCACCTGATCCAGGCCATGGTATCTTCACTAGCCTCATATGCATGTGAAAGCTGGACAATAAGTAAGATCGCGGAAGAACTGATGCTTTTGGATAATAGTGTTGGGGAAGATACACTGAAAACACCACGGACTGCCAGAGAAGGAACAAATGTCTTGGAAAAAGTACAGTCAAGACACTCCTTAGAAGCAAGGATGGTGTGACTTCATCTCACATACTTGGGACATTGCATCAGGAGGGACCAGTCCACGGAGAAGGGCATCATGGTTGTAGACGGTGAGGCACCCAGCGGCGGCCAGGCTGGGCCAAACAGAGCAGGGACTGACGCTGGAGCAGAGCCTGGCAACGTTTGGTTCTTGAACGTTGGGGTCACTGTGAGTCAGACCGGGCCGGACAGTACCTAACGACAACTGGTATTCAAACGCTGTGCCTGACTCACAGTTTGCTGGGGGCCTCGGGAACCTGATGCAGGTACCACTGGGGCGCCGCTCAGGCGCCAGGCAGAGGGAGTGCACTCACCTAGCAGGTAGGGGTTACTAGCAGGTCGCCTGTTTCAGGCCCTCAGCCCCTCACTGCAAGCCACACTGACCCCCGTCTCTCCCGCTGGACTGGCGCGCCGAAGGGTGTGGACCTGTCCCCTCGGCCCGGTGTCCCCAGCCTCTTCCTGGCACTTAGAGGGTGTTGGGCGCATCCTCGTTTGAATGAATGAACAAATGCATGGCTGCTGTGGCCGAGCAGACGTAGGCTGACACGTTCCTTCCGTCCGCTTGGTCCGATGGGAACGTGTCTACGAGACCCAGCGGCCAAGGTAAGAGTCTGGGGCAGCTGGAACCACCCGGGACTGGGCCGGGCCGACCCCAGACCTAGAGAACCCCACGCTGACATTCCTAACAGGTGTCGGGCCGAGTCGTACGCCCACTCAGGTGTGGGGCCGGAGGACCGTGGGTCTCGGAGGAGAAATCCCGGAGAAGCAAGGCTGGCCGGCTTCCCGGAGGAGGCGGCCTCTCGGCTCGGAGACGGGGGAAGATGGGTATATACGAGGGGGCAGTGGACTCCGAGAGGATGGGCGCTGTTTGCTTCTGGAGCCCCGGCGCCAGCAGAACGCTGGTCAAACCAGGAGCTTGGTAAACATTTGTTAAATGAACAAACAACTACGGGGATACCACACAAGCCTTCCTGCGTCAGCGCGGTCACCCGCATCCGACGCCCTATCGCTCGCGCATGCGCGCCCGGCTACGCCTACGTCCCTCGCGTCACGCCTCCGGTCCCCCGAGGCCACGCCTCCCCTCTCGTGGCCAGCGCGCAGGCGCGGGGAGCGGCGGCTCGGGTGACGTCACTCTGCATCAGATTCCATCCTGAGGTCGTCGCGGAGTGATTGCGTCGACATGGAGCCGAGGGCGGGTGAGAGGCACGGCGGGGTCTCAGGGCACTTGAGGGATGTGGAGGAACCCCCAGGAGGGCGAGGGGCGTGCACGGCCCAGAGGCAGGTCCCAAGAGGGGACTGCTGCGGCCTCCTGCCTGCACGGGGGTCTGGGCGCTGGGTGGAGCACCTACCAATCATCACAAGAACCCCACGACTTCGGTACCCCACACCGTCCCTGTCCTATTCGGGAGAGAGGCTCGCCGCGGGGGCACGGACGGATCCGAAACCGGTATTGCGTCCAACCCAGGCACCGGCGAGGCTTGTTCGCGAGTCCTGCCCTAAAAGGGGTCCTCCTTAAAGGAGGGGTCCTCCTTCCTAGTGCCGCGATGGACCTATTGCAGGAGCGCCTGGCACAGACAGTAGCCAGAGCTAATGCACGTGGCACCGGATTTCCCGATGACATCCGGGAAAGACAATCGCGACAAATCCGTCCTGACTTGTGCACGCGCACCCTGCTGGGGAGAAGTGAACATGACTAAGACACCCAAACCCACCACGTCCAGTCGATCCCGGCTCCGGGCCACCCTGTGGGACAGAGTGGAACTGCCCCTTAGGGTTTGCAAGGTTATCATCTTTCTCCTGCGGAGGAGCAGCACTTGGGTGCAAACCGCCCACCGTTTGCCTGGCAGCCGATGGCTTAACCACTGCACTACCGTTTGTGCACCCACCCACCTATTGCCATGAGTCCTGTCTGATTCACCGACCCTGTATGACAGAGTGGAAATTCACACAATTCTTAATTCACACAGCGCTGGGGGTCTAACAGGTTGTCAGGAAAACGAGTGGGGTAGTAGATACCAAAGAGATTTGAAACAAACCGGTACCGATACAAGCTGACGCATCTGGACCAACACCATCAAACAGAGCAGCGTTTTTAAATGTGTCCGTGCTGCGGTGCTAGCTGACCAGAGCACAGGGTTCAGCCAGGCTTATTCGGACTGCCTCAGGCACATGATCAAGCATGTAAAAAGGCTTAGAACGAAAGAGTCCTGCACAGGGAATCATAACTGGTCATCGAGAATGCTGCCTAGCTTACAAATAAAAACAGTCAGTTGTTAACTGAAAGGCTGGGTGTTCGAACCCAGCCAGTGGTGCTGAGGAAGCAAAGTGAGACTGCAGTGCCCTGTGGGGCAGAGGGCTACTCTGTAACAAACACCTGGAGGCGGGTGAGCTGGGGTCAGCCTGAGGGACTCAGCAACAGCTACCAGCTCAGCAGTCGCTGGGGGGGAAGGTGAGCTTACTTGACTGAGCAGAAGTGAGCTGATGCAAGCTACACTGAGGAGACGAACATCCAGCTCCTTGGTTCTCCACCGAACTCGGGTGGCCGAGCCAAGGCCCGTCGGGAATGCGTGGTTCCACAGGGTGGACTGTGCTTTGCTCGCCGACTGCTACCAGGGCAGCAGAACTAGGTTAGACCCTGGGGTTGTGTTTCATTTACTGTTTCCAGACTAATGATTTGTCACGAGCGTAGAGCTTAGCGTTACTGCCCATTTCTCAGCGTCCACATCTGCAGACCTAGATGCTTCTCTGACGTGGTTGGTAAGCCAGTGTAGAGTGGAGAAGGGGCCCTGCTAACCGAAAGGTCAACGGTTCAAACCCAGCAGCCACTCTGTGGGAGAAAGACCTGGTGATTTGCTCCTGGAAACATTATAGCCCAGGGAACCTACGGGGCCTACCTCGGAGATACTGCACATTCTGTTCCAGACCACCTCAATAAAACAACTATCACGATAAAATGAGACACGTGAATTTTTTTTATTTCCCAGTGTCTTTAAAATTTATATTGACTCTAGACTGTAGTCTGTGAAGTGTGGAACAGCATGATGAGAAAGTGTGAAATCCATGAGAATGGTCCGCCTGGGACACAGAGACACAGTGAGCCCAGGCTATTGGAAGAAAAATAGACTTGCTCAGTGCAGGGTGGTCACAAACCTTCAATTTGCATAACATGCAATACAGCCAGTCTCAGTTAAACGAGGTGTGCCTGCACTCTGCCCAGCAGGGTTGCTAGGAGTCAGACCTATGGCAGCGGGTGTGGCATTGAGGGTGTGACTGGAGCAGACAGAGCGTCGGCTGTGAGGACAGCCTACAGAATACTGCTCCTTTTCACTTCATTAATAAGACACAACCCTTTGTCGCCATAGGTGTCACCAAACAGGACATTCGTGAAAAAATCTGGGACTTCATGGAATCACACAACTTAGCTGACTTTCCTCGACCTGTTCACCACAGAATCCCTAACTTCAAGGTACTGCAGCTGAGGCTTCCTGGAGCTGGCAAGGGAGACAAGAGTGTCCTCCATGAGTCTCCCTGAGTAACGGGGAACTCGGCTTCCGTCCTGCTTCCTGGGGGTTAGAATCCGGCAGCAGTGGGGATGGTGTGAACCCGCACCATCTGGCTGGGGCGCGGCTGGTGTTTAGAGACGAATGTCTTCAAGTTACTCAGCCTTCAGGCCCACTGACCATGCTCTCGCCTATGTGAGCAGGGTCGGTGTGTCTTGGGGTGAGTGGTGCTAAGGCAGGTGTCCACTATTTGATACAAAGCGAAGTGTGTATCCAGGCTGGGAGCATGGTACCATGATGACTTTTCACAAACCTGAGCATCTAAGAACGTTCCGGAGGGAACGGCTGTTTGAGCGCAGCTTGGCTGCTAACTGGAAGGTCTGCAGTTCAAACCCACAAGCAGCCCTGTGGGAGAAAGATGTGGTAATCTGCTTCTATGATGATTGTTGTTGTTATTTGCCATCGAGTCGGCCCCAACTCACAGCGACCACAGCCTTGGAAACCCTCTGGGGCAGTTCCACTCTGTCCTCTAGGGGCGCTGTGGGTTGGAATCCACTGGACGGCACGGTTTTGGTTTACACCAGGGAATGATGTCCATGGAGGGAAAGAGATGACGGGGTGAAGGAGGCACAGTCGTTGAAATGACTCACCAGGGGTCAGCTGGGGGGGCGGGGCTCTGGGCGAGGGGTAGTCTGCCGTTTGCTGATTCGGGTGCCAGTTCCACAGGTGTGTTTCATTTTGTGAAAATACACCCACTTTGAGCTCACAATTTGTGTACTTCTAGGAATCTAAGTTTCACCTTGGGGGGGAAATAAACTGGGGCAGGGCTGGCCGCAGCCTTTTTCTGCCCTGGCTGCCCTCGTCGCTGTCTCCCTGGCTCTCGGTTCCCATCTTAGCACCCTGCCCGTCTGGGCGAGATGCCAGTCACACAGACCACTTGGTCATGGCACTGGGTGCCCGCCCAGTAACACGCGCATCCATTTAAAAACAGGGTGCTTCCCGGGCTGCTGAGCACCTCCCACGCTTGCAGGAATTCAAAGTGGCCAGGACCGTCAAAGTCAATCCCGACGCCCCCCAGAAAAGCGTTCGTTTCCTCACCCTCAACGTAAGTGCCACTCTGTCTGTTTGCCTGGTAGGGGTCTTACGTGGCTTGCCAGAACATCCAACAGCTAGAAGCTTTTGCCAAGACACGGGAAGTGAAAGTGGACCCTGATAAACCGTTGGAAGGTGTTCGGCTCTTGGCACTGCAGGTAACCGCTTCCCTGAGCAGAGGCTGGCCCTGTGTGCACGCAGGCTAACCCTTGTTTAGGGTACTGGGGCTCTGGCTCCCCCGACACAGATGAGAACAGTCCAAAAAGCCCCCAATGGTTAGAAGTCGGTCAGTGAGAAGTCTGGATGTGTCTTAATCTGGTAATAAAAGGTGTTCCAATCCCCAAGGCGTTCTGAATTCTGACATACCCCTAGAAGAGAAAGATTATGGCATGTGTGTTGTTTCCCTATGTACAGTGTTACTAGTCTTTGAACACTGAAGACGGTGTTACTAGTCTTGAGAGCTCTAGTGGTATAGTGCCTAAGGCGTTTGACTGCTAAACAGAAGGTTGGCGGTTCAAACCCACCAGCCACTCCTCGGAAAGAAGACCAGGCAGTCTGTTTCTGTAGAGATTTACTGTCTCGGAAACCCAGGGAGAGGTCACTCTGAGTCGGATCCGACCGACGGCAGTGACTTGGCTTTTTGTTTCTGGTTGTCTTTGAAACTAGATAACCCACGAGCAAGAGATGCAATGAATGTGTACCCAGAGGAGATCGTGATTAGGGCAGTGCTTTTCCACGAAAACACAAGGCCTCTTCCATGGGAAAAAGAAAGAACCCTCCCTGTGTTGATTTAACTGCGTGTCATTAAATGCAACACGTATGAGCGTAAACTACACGCACGGTTTTATACGTATAGCTCTCTTAGTTCAACCACAGAACCACCACAAACCTACAGATTATATCCAGTCTGACTGTAAAGGCAGTCAGAGTGACATCACCTCCGTGTAACGCAGCAGGTGATGCTGCTGGCTGGGACAGGTCGCACCCCCCGCGCACAACCGTAGGACCATCTGTCACGAGGCAGGGTCTTTGGAAGTCAGCAGGCCTTACGCAGCCACATACTGTGTGGTGACTCAGCTATCCTACCACTGTGGTTGAGTCAGGCCACCGAGACCCCCTGGTTGACACAGGTGCCTGTCTTGGTCTGGCTTCTTTAAGGAGCTGAGCCAGGGAAGCGGCTACAGATGGACACACCTAGAGAGACCCTGAGAACTACATACAGCCTTGCCAGGCTGACCCACCATGTCACCGTCACAGCACCCTCCTTCCGCACAGTGAAGGAGGGCGTTTACAGGGAGCAGGAGGGGCCAGGAGTCTCCTTGGCTCGGCTGCAAGAGGGTCGGCCTCCCTAGCAGCTGGAGGGGGCCTTCCCTGCTGGCTCTCCCAGAAGGGGGATTGCCTGGGTTTCACTTCCTTTTGAGTAAATCAGGCCGGTGACCTGGAAGTGATTAGCAGCATGCTGGCCCAGCCATGCATGGTGCTTACGGGTGAGGCCCTAGACGCCGGATCCTGCCACAGTCCTACAGGGGCAGGCTTTGTCTCTCTGTCCCCGTCCCACGTGCTCATAGCAGAGTAGCGAAGTGATGGCTCCCCACACACCATTTCACTGGTTTTGCAAACAAGGCATTTCCTCAGCAGCTGCAGGTTCTGCTGCTCTTCCTAAAATGGTGCGACCACGCGTGCAGGAAGGTTGATCTGCCCAGTGTTGTAACCACTGGGTTCTCTTTCCTTTAAAAGAGCCACAAGACGCTCTTGGTCCCAACACCACGACTGAGGACAGGCTTGTTCAATAAGATCACACCCCCTCCTGGGGCCACAAGAGACATCCTGAGAAAATGTGCCACCTCTCAGGTGAGTGCAAAGGCAGCCTCTGTGACAGACCGTTCACAGAAGCAGGCGGTGGGCGGGATGCGTGAATGGAGCACGACACCGCCGTGGCATCGAAAGTTACATCTCACAGAGCCAAAGGCGCAGGGACGGGAGGCACTCCGCAACGCAACACTCGCTAAAGAGCAAGGGCGTTCCCTCGTGCTCTGTTCCTGGCATTAGAAATTCACTGGAGGAAGAGTGGAAGCCACAACTCATCTCTGGTGCTCTGGTGCCCTCCAGTGGTAACTCGTGGTATACGTTTCAGGACTTCCATTCCGCGGAAACAAGGGCAGCCTACATGTTGCATAGCAACCAGCCTCTCACCTGTGGGAGTCTGACCCCAGTGGGAAACAGGCAGCAGCATCCCACTCAAAGCTGGGGGGGGGCAACCACTTTAAATGTGGTCAACCACCGTCTTGGAGCAGGGCAGGGCTGTTTCCTGCTCAGGTCAGTCCACTGTGCACGAGGTTTGGTTGCTGGGCAACATGTAGGCTGCCCTTGTTTTGGTCAGCCGTGACTGAAACGGTTCAAACTGCTTGGAAGCCCTGGCAGTTTCCCCAGCTGCTGGCGTGTCGGCCCGGACTCGTGGTGACCCCAGGGGTGGCCAGTGGCTGAGTTTTCAGATTTCCAGGCCTTTCTTCCGAGCCGCTCCTGGGTGACTCGTACCCCCGACCTTGCTGACCACTGTGTACGTGCTCTATCTGTTATTTTTGTTACCTCACTTCATCCCAACAATCCAGCGAGGCAGGGGGTGTCACCCCTGATTTACACATGAAGAGACCGATGCTCAGAGAGACAAGGAGCTGCTCAAGTCATGTGGCCTCCAGTGGATTTGAACTCGTTAGCCTCCAGTGCCTGTGTTCTTGTGCCTCATGAGAAAGCATGGGAGGAAACCGGGAGAGAAATGCTCGAATGACTCCAGAAGTGAGTGGGTTTCCTGCAGACCCGCTCCCGTCCTGCCGCACTCTGGTGCCAGGTGGTGTGTTTCCTGTTGTGCAGAGGAGTCTGGGACAGACCCTGAGTGCCCTTTGACGGCGGGTCACACAGGAGAACATGGTGCAGGGTGCCTTATAGCCTGCATCTCCGTCTTAGGGCGTGAGGAACTACAGCGTGCCCGTCGGCCTGGACTCCAGGGTCCTGGTGGATCTGGTCGTGGTGGGATCCGTCGCCGTATCCGAACACGGTGAGATGCCATGGTGTGCGCTCAGGGACGTGGTCGCTTACCCCAGGGGCCGCTGCCCTGGGAGCCTTCTGTCTGCCGTGTGGATGCCCCCGGTAATTTCACTTTCCAGACTTATGCCTGGGCCTCTGTCCTGTGTCCCTCCTCTCCCGGTCCACACCTGTACAGCGTGTTCTCTGTTCTGTGAGGGACGACAAGTGAGCTAACGCTCTTGGTGGTAAATGTTTACTCTCTGGTTGAGTCAGTGGGGACAGGAGTGGGATGTCTCTGCACGACAAACGGGAAACACGGGCCTCGAGTCTTGTTCCCGTCACGCATGGTGCATCTTGAATCACGGTGTGGCCCTGGGACCTCCTGCTGGTGGCCATACGGGGTCTGCCTCTGGGCAGGTGAAGCTGCACTGGCCCCACAAAATTGTCTTAAGTCTCACTGCGCAGAGAGCCCTGTTGATTTTCAAAGTGATAATAATGAAAATAGCCAGGCCATGGTGAGAGAACGTTCATGGTACACAACAGGGCCTGTGCCTTGGCCCCAGGTGGCTGCTGCTAACAGCTCCATGTGTCCACATCCACACCACTCCTGCGGGTGACACAGGTGTGGTACAGTTTGTACACGTCCCGTCTCCTGTTTTGCAGAGGGTAGTGGTCCACATGGGGCTTGTGCTTGGCTTTGCAGGAGGGGACAGTCCACACAGCACTTGCCCTTGCCTTGCTGCTGTATCTCGTTGCCCTCCCAGAGCACACACAGTGACAGTGAGTGACCTCACTGTGTCCGAGGCTGCACAGAACGGCCCAGAATACACCTTGCCAGGCCCTCACTGACACACAGCCGTGTCATTTGCACGGTGGGTGGGGTTTTACAGATAACGCAGGGGAACTTCCCTGTCATGAAGTCTAAGGAGATTTGGGGACTGTCCCTGGGCTCATTCCTAGGAGGAGACCTGGCACACCCCAGCGTGGTGGTTTGAAATCTCCGTAGGCCTCATGGAATTACCCACTAGGAAGGTCACGTTCAATCCCTGCCCCCTTCCCGGGCCTCCATCAGTAGCTGGAATCAGACTCCGTTGCTCAGTCTGGCTGTGAATGGCAGCATCCCTTCGGCCTTTTCATCCCCACTGTCACATGAGAGCCACGGGGCATCTTCACACTCACTGTTCACGTGTGGTGACCCTTCATATCCTTTGCCAGTTTTCTGCTGAACTTGGGTTTTTTGCATGTGCAGCTACAAGTTTTTTAAAGTACTATTTTACCGAGTTTTTGGTGCAGCCTCACACAGCAGGTTAGGTTCCTATTTGACAATCTCCCCACAAACCGTTAGTTACATTAGTCACGTTGCCCACACACGGCTGCTGAGTTACGTTGGTCACGCTGACCACATGTGGCTGCGTTCTCGTCACTGTGTCCAGTCTGTTCCCTCTCTGGTCCTCTGGGTTTCCTGCTCCGTCTTCTCATCTTTGCTTTTGCATAATTGACCTTCTGTTCTCGTAACAACAGTTTTAAGTAGGGCATGGCCTGTGGGTCCTGCCCTTCGATTTGTGTGCCCTCCTGCTGTTCTATTAAAAGGTGGTCTCCGGAGAGGCCCAGGGCGACAGGCCCCGGGTGACGGGCCCTGGGTGTCTCTGCTGCCTTCCATCCTAGTTTGTTCTGCTTTTTCTTATATGTAAGAATCTGGGTTCTGCTCCACATCCTATCCAGGACTTTGAACTGTGACCCGACCGGTCAGTAGAGTCTGTGGTGGTGGCCGGGCACCATCTGGTTCTGGTCTCAGGGTGGATGAGGCTGTGGCTCGTGCGGACTTTTTTCCCTGGGAGGTTTTGGCCACCTTCTTCCTGGTTTGCTCCTGGAGAGTGGAGACCTGTAGCTCTGTCTTAGATGGCCGCCTGTAAGCTTTGACAGCCTAGACGCCACTCACTTCACTTCAGATCAGCTTTTGTGGACTCTGCCGTGCCAGTTGAGTTGTCCTGTGAGACCGTAGTGCTCAGCCTTCCGAACCAGAGAAGCAGCCTTGCATGGTGTTTGGTTATGTCTGAAGAGGACCCTGTTTTTATTTTTACACAAACAGAACTCGTCTTCCACCAGCTGCTCCCTCCCCCCAAGATACCCTCATAGTCCTACTGATCCTTCTCCACTGGGGCTGTGAGAACCAGTTAGCGTCACAGCCTCAGAAACACTGGGGGGGGGGGGGCAGGGCTGGCACAGAGATGCGGAAGGCAGACTGCACCAAAACACGGCGCCTGCACGTGTGTCTCCCGTGAACGGACGTGCCTGCACCCGTGATTTGGTGTCTGCACGTGCCCACAGAGGCTCCTGCCTGCCTCGCCGTGTGCAGCCCTGCAGCTGGTGTACACCGCGTGGCCCGGCCCCAGCCCCGCGCACTCAGACCCTCCTCCTCTTCTGCTCGGGTGGTGGTCTCGGGCGCCACGCTGGGCGCCACCGTCCCTCGGCAAGCACCGGGCTCCGTTCATCTCTCCCTGTCTTCTTACAGAAGACGGATCGAGCTGGGCTTGGCCTCACCTGCTTGCTTCGTTTCACTCAGCATCACACGACTGCGGGTCTTTAACCGTGAACGCGGCCAGCAGATAGGAGTCTGGAAAGGGCGGGGGGGGGGGTGTGCTCTGGCCACCAGTGTCCCCCGAAGCCAGGGGCGTCTGCGGGCTGGCGGCCCCGCTCTCGTCTCCTGGGGAGCTGGGCGCCCTTCTCCAACCTGGCAGCCTTCCTCTAGGTTCACACGTGCAGCCCCGCCCCTCAGCAGAGGGCGGAGTTGGCACTTGTTCCTGCTTTTCCAGAGGCTGCTTTGTCCTGAGTCCCTGGTCTCAAAGCCTCTTTTCCTTCCGAGGTCAGCAGACCAAGCACGTTTGTACCAGGCAGAACGTGTGGCAGAACGTGTGCCCCGCCGGTCTCCCAGCGGCTCTCTGACTGCTGCCCTGAGGCTGGGTTCCTGCTTTAAAACGGCGACTGCTCCCTGCACTGCCTTTAAGCTCTGAACAGCTAGCCGGCCTGACGCGGGGAGTCTGTTTGGGTGGCTGCTTGTGGGGGTTACGGTCCTGGGAGGGCCAGGATCTTGGGTTTCTCTTTCCACGGGGACCTAATTAACAGTTTCCCCCTCAGAGCCCGGCCGCAACGGCTGATCCTCTGGTTCTCTCCCAGGCTGGCGGATCGGGAAGGGAGAAGGCTATGCTGACCTGGAATACGCCATGATGGTGTCAATGGGGGCCGTCTGCGAGGAGACACCCGTAGTCACAGTCGTCCACGACTGCCAGGTGCTTCCTGCAAACGGGCGACGCGTGGCCAGAGCCACGCTCCTCCCAGTGAGCACGAGTGAGGCGGACAGACGAACACACCTGCCCAGGGAGTGGGAGGGGAGAGAGGGGGACAGACAGGCAGACAGACAGACCCTGCCAGGAGATCAGAGGGGAGAGAGGAGGACAGACAGGCAGACAGACAGACCCCATGAGGAGAGCGAGAGGGGAGAGGGGGGACAGACATGCAGACAGACAGAACCCATGAGGAGAGCGAGAGGGGAGAGGGGGACAGACAGACAGACCCCACCAGGAGATCAGAGGGGAGAGAGGGGGACAGACAGGCAGACAGACAGACCCTGCCAGGAGAGTGAGAGGAGACAGACATGCAGACAGACAGACCCCACCAGCAGAGTGAGAGGGGAGAGGGGGACAGACAGGCAGACCCTACCAGGAGATCAGAGGGGAGAGAGGGGGACAGACAGACAGGCAGACAGACCCCGCCAGGAGGGGAGAGGGGGATGGACATGCAGACAGACAGACCCCATGAGGAGAGTGAGAGGGGAGAGGGGGACAGGCAGGCAGAGGGACACACCCCACCAGGAGAGTGAGAGGGGAGAGGGGACAGACAGACAAACCCCATGAGGAGAGTGAGAGGGGATGGGAACAGGCAGGCAGAGGGACAGACCCCGCAGGGAGAGTGAGTGGACCAGGCAGGCAGAGACAGACCCTATGGAGTGAGTAAGAGGAGACTGAGGGGACAGACAGACAGACCTCGTCTTCTCACATGCTAGCATCAGGCATGGGCATGTTGTGATGGGTGGTCTGTTGCTCAGGGGTGCGACAGAGCCCTCTCCGCAAAGGGAGGACCGCCTGCCGTGTGACCAGTATCCTTCTTTCCTTCTGAGGGTGTGGCAGACATGCCTGAACTACCTCTCACCAGTGCCCTTGGCCCTGTCTGACAGGTCGTCGACATCCCTGAGGCACTCCTCGAGGACCATGACCTCACCGTGGACTATGTGCTCACACCCACCAGGGTCATCGTGACGGGGTGCCGGCGCCCGAAGCCAAAGGGCATCATGTGGTGTAAGGTAGGCTCTGTGGCCCGGCAGCTGGCTCTCCTTGAGGGTTCCCGGCCTGGCAGGGTAGCAGCCCCAGACCTGGCGCAGCCATACGTCAGGACAGCTGCGGGGTGCTGGGACCACGCGGCTGCCTGGGCTAGCCATGTCCGAGTTCTGGTGTGCTCGAGGTCGGCTCTGACAGCCCTGGGGTCTGCCAGCAGCTGGCCTCTGGGTTTGCTGTAGTGTTACAGCCCGCTGTGGACAGAGAGAGAGAGGGCCAGTGGACCGGAGGCTGAGGCCTTGAGTTTGTGTTTGGCTAACTATTCCTCACCGTTATCCCAAAAGTCTCTGGGTGATCTGTGAACTGAAAGGGTGATGGTCCCAAGCCACCCAGAGGCACCGAACACAGGCCTCGTGGTCCGTTTCTAAAAAGTGACGGCTGCGGTGACTCCAGTGCAGCTCTGCTCTGCGCAGGGGTGGCCAGAGTCCGAGCCACCTTGACAGCAGCTGGCGACAGCAGGACATCCCAGCTGCCGGTGGCCACCTGCCTGGCTGGAGGTTCTCCTTGGTGGGCAGAGGGTTCCTCGCAGTGTCTCTGGAGCTCCAGGCAACACCAGATGAGTGGAAGGCCGCCCCAAAGCCTTCGAGAGCCCGACGCCTTTGAGGTGCTCTCTCCAGAGTGGCTAAGAGCAGACTGCAGCAGAGCCCCAAGGCCTGAGCACGAGCGGCCGGAGCTCCTGCGGACATGCCGAGGGCTTAGGCTCCGTTTGGATGAGACAGGAAACAAGCATTCTGTCCATGTCTCCTGTTCCTCAGACTCGATCATCCAGTGTTTGAAGAGGCCTTTCACCCTCCCCTCCGCATGTGGCCATGCAGACCAGGCACTCTGCTGTGTCCCAGGCCTGGCGGGACACCCACAGGTAGCTGGGCCCTAGGAACACCGGGGTGGCCAAGTGCTCACTCCAGAGCCAGCACTCAAAAAATCAGACATTGTATTGCATTGGGCAAATCTGCTGCAAAAGATTTCTTTAAAGTGTTAAGAAGCAAAGATGTCACTTTGCAGACTCAGGTGAACCTAACCCAAGCCATGGTGTTTCCAGTCGCCTCATATGCATGTGAGAGCTGGACAGTGAGTAAGGAAGACCAAAGAAGAGTTGATGCTTTTGAGCTGCACTGCTGGCGAAGAATGCTGACAGTCCCATGGACCGCCAGAAGAATGAACAAATCTGTGCTGGAAGGAGTGCAGCTGGAATGCTCCCTGGAAGCGAGAATGGCCAGACGTCGTCTCACCTACTTTGGCCATGTGGTCAGAAGGGACCATTCCCTGGAGAAGGATGTCATGCTTGGTGAGGGGGAGGGTCAGCGAAGAAGGGGAAGGCCCTCAGCGAGACAGACTGACACGGTGGTGCCGCACTGGGCTCAAGTACAGCAGGGACTGTGCGGCTGGTGCAGGACCAGGCAGTGTCTCATTCTGTTGAGCACAGGCTTGCTGTGAGCTAGAGCCCACTTGGTGGCACCTGACAAGAGCATCATGCCTGTGGTTAGAGTCCCGTCTGGGGGTGAGTTGTCTGTTGCACTGATGAGGCGGGAGTAGGATGAGATGTGTTAGAGTCCCGCCTTGCTGGAGAGAGTGACTCAGGTCCCCACCCCTGGTTTCCTCAGTTTATGTGTGAGTGCTCTTGCCAAGTCCTCTCCCGCTCTGGATCCTGCGTCTCATCCATCATCATCTCAGCCCCGGCTCTTAGGACTTGAGACAGCAGCCAGTCGTCTGACCTGCTGATTTGGGCTCCTCAGCTCCTGTAACCGTGTGAGTGAGGAGAATCCTCCATACCATGCAGCCGTGTGAGTGAGGAGAATCCTCCGAAGCAATGCCGGACCCACGGACTTGGGACTTGCCAGCCTCTACAACTTCGTGAACCATTTCCTTGGTGATTCCCAGGTTCTGTGAAACGTCACAGCAAGTGACAGAACCCAAGGGTGGGAGGGAGAGTCCTGAGGGGAGGAGGAGGAGCTGACATTAGAGATGATGGAGTGGGACACCTGGGAGGATTCTAACCTCTGCCTCCTAGGGACCAGCCTCGCACTGATCTTCTAAAAGAGATTGCCGAGCAGTTTGGCAGCAGATGTCTAAAGAGTTAGATGGCTGATTTGTGCTTGGCTTGGCATGTGTTTCTAGAAGAGAGATTATTTTTTTTAATGCATTTTATTGAAATATAATTTATGTACAGTCAAATACACAAAACTAAAGTGACATGGGTCAATTTTTTTTTTTTTTTTTTTTTTTTTTTTGCAGTGTTCCCTCCCCTCCCCTCCCACCCCTGGAAACCAATAAAGAAAGTTTCCCTCCATATATAAACCTTGCCTTGACCCTCCACAACAACGAACTAATACTATATTTGTCCTTCTGTGATTGACTTATTTCACTCAGCATAATGTCCTCCAAGTTCATCCATATTATGCAGTGTTTTGTAAACTCTACATTATTCTTTAGTGCTGCATAGCATTCCATTATGTGTATGTACCATAGTTTGGTCATCCATTCTTCCACTGATGGGCACATAGCTTGTTTCTGTCTTTTTGCTATTGTAAATAGTGCTGTGATGAACATGAGCGTGCATGTATCTGTTCCTGTCCTGGCTCTCACCTCTCTAGGTTATATACCTGGTAATGGGATTGCTGGGTCAAATGGGATCTCCAGCTTTCTAAGGAATTGCCAGATTGCTTTCCACAGTGGTTGTGTCACTTCACAGTCACATAAGCAGTGTATGAAAGGCCCAATCTCTCCACATCCCCGCCAACATTTGTTATTTTCTGTCTCGTTGAACTTTGCCATCAGTACTGGGGTGAGATGGTATCTCATTGTTGTTTTGATTTGCGTATCTCTGATGGCCAATGATTGTGAGCATCTCTTCATGTATTAGCTGGCCACCTGAATATCCTCCTTGGTTAAGTGTCTACTCATGTCTTCTGCTCATTTTCCAATTGTATTGTTAATTCCTTTGGTGTTGAGGTGTTGGAGTTTTCTATAAATCTTGGAGTTAAGTCCCTTGCCAGATATGTAATTATCGTTTTGTTGCTGTCATTTTTGTTACGTACTTTTTCATGGTGTCGATTTCTTTGTTCCATATAATTTTCTATGCTGAGCTCATTTTGTTTATGGATCGTGTTAGCACTTCCTTTGTTGCTGTTGTTTGAGTATTTGCTAAATATTTGTGCTGGTCCTCTTTTTTATTTTGTTGTGAAGGTTAATCATTTTTCTTTGAGGTTACCATATGATTTATAGTTTTCTTCCTAAGTTTAGAACAGTCCATTCTATCTTGTAGTTGTCTTGACTTCCCTACCATCTAGAAGTTCTGTAACAACAGTGTTTTTTCCCTCTTTTTGGTTTGTAGTTGTCTTCATTTGTCAATTGATGTCTCTGGTTTCCTGTTTACAATCTTGTAGGCTTATTTACTTTGGATGCTTCCATAGCTGGGTTGGTTTCTGGGTTACATCATCATGTGTGTTAATGGTCAGTTGTTGTTGGCTATTGTTGCTTCTCTGTCCAAAGGACTCCCTTTGGCATCTCTTGTAAGGTTGGTCTGGTTTTAATTTCTGCTTATCTGGAAGTGTGCTAATTTCGCCATCATATTTGAGGAACAGTTTTGCTGTGTACACAATTCTTGGTTGGAAATTTTTCTCTTTCAGGGTTTTATATACCGTCCCATTGTCTTCTTGCCTGCATGGTTTCTGCCTAGAAATCCGAGCTTAGTCTTATTGGTTGCCCCTTATAGGTAACTTTTTGTTTTTCCCATGCTGCTCTCAGGATTCTTTCTTTGTCTTTTGTTTTGGTGAATTTGATGATGATATGTCTTGGTGATTTTATTTTGGGGTCTATCCTGTTTAGGGTTCGTTGGACTTCCTGAATGGATATATTCTCATCTTTCATCATATCAGGGAAGTTCTCTTCCAACAAATCTTGGACAATTTTCTCAGTGGTTTTATTTTTCTCTTCCTGTTCTGGAATTCCAATGACTCATAGGTTATTTCTTTTG